ATCTTAATATATTAAATATCTCATTATGGTTACAGTATTTGAACACGTTTTCCAGTAAAATTCAGCCCAATTTAACGACCAGTTTTGTTGTTGTTCAGTCGCACAGTCGAGTCCGACTCTTCGCAACCCCATGGACCAGATCACGCCAGGCCTTCCTGTCTTCCGCCGTCCTCTGAAGTTGGCTCAATTTCATGTTTGTTGCATCTATGACATTGTCTAACCATCTCATCCTTTGCCATCCCCGTCTTCCTTGACCTTCAATCTTTCCCAAACGACCAGTTAGTGTTCATCAACTGATCCTTCCTTGTTTACTTGTAAGATCAAAACTACATCCTCCTTACACAGTTGAGCATTTTGTTTTATGGACTTTTTTACCCAAGATCTAAAATTCTTATGGTCTGCCAAGATTTTCTTATGAGTAAATGTCTGGCCTGGGTAACAGCACACCTCCCCCGCCCACTGCCTCCAGATATATCACAGTCAATTATCAGTTACATGATAATTTGGCATTGTGGGGAAAAGTGGGATCAAAGCAAAGAAAATGCTTATGAATTTGAGATGTAAGCCAAAGGGTTCTTGGCTCTTGGCTCACAGCCTGTAGCTTTGCATGTGCCAGCCCCGTCAACCTTGGACTAGCCCAAGATGTGGTTTCATATATTCAGTGGGGTTTTGTCATTTGCTGTGTTTAAACTGCAGCTTGGTCTTTTTAATAAGCTGTTGCGGGTCCCTCTTGCAGACAAAATGGATAAGCAAATAAATACATAAATCTGAAGTCCCATAGGGCTCTCTGCAATCCCATGCTATGCCCAAAATGAATCAGAAAGCACATCGTGGGATTCTCCGTAGCACTACTGTTGGACCAAACCTGAAAAATCTGGGATCTTACAGAATTCTTGGATAGTTAAAGCATTAGGAATTATTTTACTCCCCCCTATTCCCAAGGTCAATGACAGAAACACTGTGTTCAAGAAACAGAACAGAATCTTGGCCCAGAACCAGAGAACTGGATCCTTCATAATCCATCAACAGGGAGTACAAGAATGAAGGGGTATTCAGTTGCTATGATGGAAGAAAATCTGAAGCTCTTTTTAGTCTTATGTTTAGCATTGCCACTAAGGGACAAGGACACGTATTTGTTTGAACATTAAACAAATTACAACTTGGCACAGTTTCTATTTGTTCCACAAGAGCAATCTTTTTTCCCCCAGATTAATATTTCTTCTCCTTCTTTGATTCTGAAGCCTTCTAAAAAATCTCACGGGCAAAGCTCTTTTATGACCAGCCTTGTTCTTTATACTAACAACACTTGGACCCCCCCCCCCCCCCCCGTTTTGAATCTTAAAGTAGGTTTTTAGGGTTAAAGCTTTTTTTTTTTTTTTTTTTTTTTGGAAGTCTCCTTTACAGGCCACCTACATAACTTTCTTTAATTTATAAACTGGAAAGCACCTTGAGTAGTATGCTATTAATGGCAGGAGGAGATAGAGCAGCTGTAGCAGAAAACAAAGCAGTCCTTCGGCTATCAATCATTCCCAAAAGGCACAATAGCATGACTGAAGAAAAGGGCTATTGCATGCCAAGAGAAATAAATTAATACAGCAAGGGTGAGGCTCTAGATACAGTGCCTTCCAATCAGCATCGTCTGGGAGCAGCTAATTTACCTGTGTTTTTACATTAGGGATGACTAACAGTGAAATCCTGTGTGGAATGTCTCCAATCTAAACCCAATAGGTTTAGAGGGCAGTAATTCTGCTTTGGACTGTAAATAATCCAGTCAAGATGGATGGATTCCATCGATGGATTCTTCTGAAATAGATCACTGTGGACATCCACGTTCACAGTAGATCATGCACATCTTTGGGGGTGCTAAAATTGGTATATCAACAGCTTTCAGCACCTTTAAGTTGCATTGTCTTCAATTTTTTTACAAGTATTATTCCAATAAAAATAATGTCCCATAAAGCTTTGACTTTGTTTGAAGCTAAATTAAATATGGTTTAAACGTTATTTTTGTTTCCTACTCTGGTTTCTCTGTTCAAGTCTTTGCTGCGATTTAGAAATAAAATCAATATGAGATACTTTTTAAACGTGTTTACTAAGCACAAGTCAAAATCAATTTGCCAAATCAGACCATGCTTCTTTTATAACATCAGATAATTTTCCAATTCTTATTTTTTCCAGAAATCCACATCACTGTTTTTATATCTGATGCTGGCCAGCACGTCATTCACACAGTATCTCTATATGTAGCCAAGAAAACCATGTGTTTACCCTATTATTACTCTTACTGTGCTTATAGGGTTTGGGAATTTTTACTCTATTCTTCTTTTCGAGAGCCAGTGTGGCGTAATGGTTAAGTGGTGGGTTCTCATCTGGAGAACTTGGTTGGATTCCCCACTCCTCCACATGAAGCCAGCTGGGTGACCTTGGGCCAGTCACAGTTCTCTCAGAACTCTCTCAGCCCCACCTACCTTGTAGGATCCCGTGCACTGCGCGCCGTTGCTCCCCAGCACGATCAGATGCCAGGGAGGTAGGGACGCTCGGGAGGGGGAGGCTGCCGAACTGCGCATGCTCACGCATGCGCAGTTCGGCTGGGGGCCGGGGATGCGCCGGCGGCAAGACGCGCCGCAGATCCCACGGCCAGCGATGATACGGACCAAACGGATGAACCACCTAGGTAGGTGGTTCAGTTTTGAAGCGATTCATCGGGGGAAGGGCCGGATTGGAGACGGGAGCGCAACGCCAGCCAGATGTTGACGTGGGATCGCGCCCGTTTGCTGCGCTTCCAATCCGGCCCACTCCCGGCCCAAAACGCCTCGTATGAACAGGGCCTTGGTTCTACAACCCTAATCCTATTGCATTACTCATTGAATGTCCCATCTGTTGATTATATTGACTCACTTCGTGTTGTCCGCCTCGAGTCCCAAGTGAGAGAGGACTACAAATAACATTAAATAAATAAGCATTTGCGTTTTACATATTATTTTTTTAGTCTAAGATTGTAACAGCCTTTGCTTTTTGTAATAAGCTCTTCTGCTTCTACTACCGCTACTACGGTTTTTACTTACAGGTTTCTGAGCACCTGCCACAGACCCAATGACAGCAAAATACTAATGACATTGCACAAGATGTTATGCAATTAACCCAACTGCACATTGTTGTGAACAATGCAACAGCCCAGCATCTTGAGCAACATTTAACAGAGAACAATCGCTAATCGGCCAGCATGTTGAATGGAGAACACTGCATACTTTGACTAGAATGGAAAATAATAAGCAAACCAACCATTTAGAACCTCCTGCCCCAGTGAAAATTATGCATATGCTCCTCTGAGTAAAGGCCCCAAACGTGACATGTCACTGTTCAGCAGAAATCTCCACAGAAGTAATATAAAAAGTTAATTAAAAATGCTGTGTGGTTATCCAAGGTGTCATTAAAGCTCACGGAAGCACAGCCATTAGAGTGGGTCCACTGGTTTTTTTGGCTTCTTGAAATCCATGTAATCTACAGTTTCACATATCCCATTCACAGCCCCTGGCAGCTGTCAAATCAGCCAACATAATTCATTCTAGAAATCATCAGAGCCTAAATATGTTTTGACAAGGCAACATGAGGAGTATCTGCAAAAGAAAGGGGTAGATGCCCCAAATTGGATTCTGTGATTTTTATGCAAGGTTGCAGGCACCAATAGAAGCTTTTTTCATTCACAGAGCAAACGAAGGAAGAATCAGAATTTTTGAGATAATATCTGGCAGATGCCCCTCACGGTACGATGACTTTTGGGCCACTCCATTTGAACTTTATAGGGAATCAAAGGAGGACAGAAAACAATTCAAGGCTGTGTGTGAAGGCTTCTAAATTACTTGGCTAGGGTCAGGCCTGCTGGTTTCACAAGACACAAAAATAAACATTTATAGACCAGACCTCTTGAGTGAAGCCAAGAAAAAAAATATGGCTTTCACTGGTGAGAAAATATTACTTCATAGTACATTATTTATGAAAGACCAAAACACCTGGGAAAGGGCAGAAAATGAAACAACACTCCTCAAAATAATCCTAAGGGTACATTCAGTGGAGATCAGCAATTGGAGCTTCCACATACCACCACATGTGACTAGCTGACAACCCAAAGATGCGTGGGATGGAAAGACCAGTAATTGTGGCAAATACTTGCCACAGTCCAGTCAGTGACTGTAGGTGGTGCAGGAACCTCTAGATTTGCCTTGAGAAGGTTTTGGTTTAAACAAAACTTGGTCTCAATTCTGGCTCCAGGTCTTATAAACTTTGCCCACTGCCTAATCTGTTTTATCACCAGCCCCAGGCACCAAATGTGACATCAGGGCTAAGGCACCAAATGTGACATCAGGGCTAAGGCACCAAATGTGACATCAGGGCTGGTGACAGCACACTGAAAACACAATATGAACGAATTATCCCAAAGAGTGATGCATAAAACCCCTCTGAGAGACTTTAACTGCCTACTTATAACATTTTGACATCCCACAAAATTCTTCAGGAGTTTTGCCTGAGCAGGAACCTCCAAATCAAACTTCTGAGATAAATTTGGTGGCAACTCCTACAGATAGATCTGGAGGTCACATATACCCCCAAAAAAACCTGTAATCTGAAATCATGACTATTTAGGTAAAAGTCACAAAACCCATCACCATTTGCATCATGTTCAGAGTTTCTAAGATATGCAACAAAATGAACTTAACCTGTACATTTCCCTGAAATTCCACTGATAAATTATTGTTACATTTGTTAGCAGACTCCCCAATCCATCAATTCACCCTTTTTGCCATCAAGTTCCAGCCAATTTATGCTGACCCTATAGAGTTTTCAAGGCAAAAAACCAACAGTGGTTTGCCATTGCCTTCCTCTGTATAATAATCCTGGACTACCTTGGAGGTCTCTCATCCAAGTACTAACCAGGACAGACGCTTCTTGACTTGCAAGATCTAAGAGGGCTACCCATTACCAGTCTAAATTCATATTCTTACCTTATCTTTATTTTCAAAGGCAGACATTTCAAGCTTGGTCCGAATCACAAAGGGTGTAGACAGTCTCAGAAGTACTCGTTCAAATGTGGAACCAATCTTTGGAGAAACAATTTCGAAGCAGTCCTGGAACTTCAATGCCTTGTGAGTGTCACACTTGAGTTGCTTCCTAAGACCTTCTCCCAGCTGCAGCACCAGCATGCTGGGATCAAACATCAGATGAAAGGGGAAAGCTCTGCAGAACGTACTGATGCTTATCCTCAAGTCTGCAGGGGAATGGGAAGTCCCCAGAGGAAGCGCTTTTGTGATATTTGCATTCTCACGTTCTTTGATAATAAAAATGAGGCAGCTGCAGTTGCCTGGGTTGGAGTCCTCGGAACATGGCTCATCATTTGCAATCTGTTCCACATCAACCTCCAGTTGGTAGATCTTCCTTGCTGCTGCCTTGACCATACCCATCATGGCAAAACCAACTATCTGATGTGGGTGGAAGTAGTGGAGCATAAGGTTACCTTCAGGGAGCTCTTTGCATAGGAAAGAAGGGGATTCTGAAGTGGCCTGCCTTCCAACGGAAGTCCTGATGTGTTCCTGCAAGGCATCGAAGCCATTAAAGAAATCTTGTAAGGTGCCACCCACCGCTCGGAGGACTCGTTCATTCTCATCAAAGCAGATGTTGAAGAATTCCACCCCAAATTTCTCTTGCAGTTCTTCAAACTTCAAGCCTACACAGCAATGAACAGGCATATGTCAATACGATATCACCGTTGATTAGCACCAAGGCTTGAGAACATTGAGAGGCAAATTAATACAAGGTCACCTACTGAGGAATATGGCTCTAGAACATAGCCAGCAACTATAAGGATCTACGAATGCAACTATGGACGACAGTCATATCCAGTTCCCTACCTCTGCCCCATAAAATGGCCTACTGGCCAGCCTTGTTACCACAGATGTTATTCCTTCCACTCCTAACTCTTACTTCTGAATCAGCCACTTGGGAGCTAGGAAGTATTCAAGGGGAAACTGGGAGATGAATGCTACAGGGACCTCTAATGGCTAAGGCCTACTCTAAAGACAATGACCAACACTGGGCATATAAGACACACCTGAAACTACCCTACAATTTTATACCAACCATTAGAGGACTAACGAAGATGATGAAATACCCCTCTTCCTGTCAGTAAAAGTGATGCCCACTCAGAAAATGGGAACAGTTCTCACACTGTTCTGAGGCGCCATCAGTCTGAAAGACATGCCAGTAAGAGAGTTATTACAAATACAATGGAACCAGCAACCTCTACAATTTCTTTTTTAGGACACACGCTTAGCCTTTTCAAGCTCGCATCACAGAATCTCATGCTTTCAATTACCGAAAGGTCATCCTGCTAAGAACTGACGCTGTTAAAGCATAGACCAGCAAATGTGGTCTTGCTTGGATGTACTAATATCTTAGTATCTGCTGACTGTGTCACCTGTGCAGGCACACATTTGGCCGGCGCTACTGGTATTGACCTTTAAAGCCTTGTGTGGCCTGGAACCAACATACCTGAGGGACTGCCTCTCCCCATATGTGCCCCAGAGAGTCTTGTGCTCTGCTGATCAAGATCTGCTGGTTGTCCCCAGCCCAAGGGACATCTGCTTAGTCTTGACCAGTGTTCCCTCTAAGCTGAGTTAGTGTGAGCTAGCTCACAGTTTTTTAGCCTCCAGCTCACCCATTTGTGCCTTAGCTCAGGAAGGAGGGCTCCAGAGCAAACTAATTTATGCAGCAGCCAAATTGTTTGCTCACAGCTTTAATGCCAGTAGCTCACAAAGTAGAATTTTTGCTCACAAGACTCTGCAGCTTAGAGGGAACATTGGTCTTGACCAGGGACAGGGCTTTTTCTGCCCTGGCCCAAACCTGGTGGAACATGCTCCCATTTGAGATCAGGGACCTGCAGGAGCTGTTCCACCAGGCCTTTGGCTGAGGCAGTGGGCATCCAATAAAAACCTGGCCTCCCCTGCTGAAATTCACCACCTCTGCGTAGCCAATTAAGATATTAGAGACCCAATAGCACCAGCTTGGAAACCTTGCACACAGACAAAGAGTACAACCTGTTTTAATTTATGTTGTTTTAAATTGTTTTTAATTATTCTGTAATACTGTATCTGATGTGTTCTAAAATCTATGTTGTGATCTGCCATGAGTCCACTCGCAGGGAGGGTGGAATATAAATTGAAGTAAATAAATTAAAGACTGCTGTTGGAGGACTGTCCATTTTACATGGACTACAAATCCTTTCCACCTTTACACAGTTTCTGAGGAAAGGCATCATGTGCATTTTACCCTTCAGTCACACTTATCTGTTGGGGTAACCAGTTTCTCTATTCTCAAAAACAGCGCGAGGGAACAAAACATGTAAAATGATGGCTTTTTCAGGACCACCAAATTCATACATAGCAAAACACTTGCTCTGTGCAAGTAATTCTACATAGTTTAATCGGGCAATGAAAGCTGAGAAGTCCAAGGGTTAATTTTCATGAGGACCATTCCATGCCTCTTTCCCAATAACTGCCTTTCATTCATTCAGTTAGGCTACCGAGGGGCAAGAAGAATGATTTTGTCAAACACAACTAGCTACCAAGAAAGACTGTGAAAAGCAACAAGAGATGGAACTGTGAAAATGGAAAGTTGGGAATTCTCTTCCCCTCCATTTGCTTAATTTAAAATGGAAAGTTGGGAGGAGAAGACTATGTTTCCACTAAATGGTACTCTGATCAACTTATCTCAAGAACTTAACTTCTTTCATGCATAAATCCATGCTACCCACACTTTCACCCATTTGTTCTTTCAGTTTATCATCTTTTCACCTAAGCAAAGATCCACCAGTCTTGGCTTTTCTCCACTTCAATGGAGTAAAGGGTGCTTCATAAGAGGGACTCCCCCAACTTAGACACTGTTGCCTCCAGTATAGGAAGATGCTTGAGTTGCAACCTCCTGATACTGTGTGGTTGGCCATGCCCACCATGGCGGCCATTTTTATGGTGGTGCCCACTACCCATTCTTGAAATTCCATAAGCGCCTGAAGGGTGGAAAGGGGGGGGGGTGACAGACCCCTGATATGGATGAACCCGGCATCCCCAATCCTGTTTCTTTGATGTCAAGCCCTGGCCACACCTGCAAGCCTGGAAAGTGAGGAGGTTTGCTGCCGAACACATTTAGGATTGAAGAACTTTGCTTAGGAAAGAAGGGGATTCTGAAGTGGCCTGCCTTCCACAGTGTAGGTGGTACTCGACATATGTAACAGGCAGAGTTATATCCAGCAAATTATTGGCCGCAAATGAAGAAGCTCTCATGCTGGGCTAAGTAGCTGTGGTTTCTGTTCAGTGCTCACAAGCATGCCAAGGAAAAGCAAGAATCTTACGAAAGGAACCAGATTTTTTCTGCAGCATCTTATTAAATGAAATGCAACATGAATTAGCTACATGAAGAAGAATAACTACCACAGAGAAAACCACATCTTTCATTTCTATCAGAATATTCTATTTCCTAAGGGCATGAATTTAGATACTTGGAACAATATAAATATTCAGCAGCCCATATGATATCAATAAAATCCCCACAGAGCTGCCAGGAACACTGTACAATTTGGATGGCTCACAGTCTTCTGAACTTGGGAGAAGAGTGTAATTAAAAAGTTTTATGCCCCGAGGCGTGAGAAAAAATGGAGAAAGGTGGAAACGGGAGGGCAGGGGAAAAAAGACTGTTTATCCACACACAAATGGGGGAGAGAAGGGATTAAAATCACAAGGCGGTTTTCCAGATAATGCACATTGCTTGCAGTATTAATGACTTCATCAGGCTTTTCAGCCAGCGATCTACTCAGTGGATAACAAAGAAGAATCAGGGTCTACAAGCTTCGTCAAGCCTTGCCATTCACACATCAGCAGAACATGAAGAGGCTAGATGGCCACTTGTCAGCAATGCTGATTCCGTGAACTTAGGAAGATCACAAGAAGGGAGGGGACAGAGGCTTAAAAACAAAGAGAAGCCAGTGTTGGATCAGGCCAGTGGCCCATCCAGCCCAACACTTGTCACACAGTGGCCAAAAATACCAGGTGCCATCAGGAGGTCCATCAGTGGGGCCAGGACACTAGAAGGCAAAAAGTTGTCTTTTTGCCCTGAGATAGCCCAGGCAATCCCAATCTCATCAAATCCCAGAAGCTAAACAGGGCCAACCCTGGCAAGTACTTGGATGGGAGACCTCCAAGGAATACCAGTGATGAGAGGCCAGAGCATGCTATCAAGCCACTTCTCTGAAAGTCCTCCAGGCCCCGGTAGGAGTTGTCAGAGATCACCATGACTTCCAGGCACTGGCACACACGCACTCATACACACAATGGGGGGGACCCAGAAACAGTTATCTCTGCTGCAAACAAGCCAGCATGTTATTCCCATAGCACAGGGGTCCCCAAAGTCGGTCATCAGTGCTTAGTTCTTGTGGCCCTTTCTTACATGCCCAGGGAAATGCTGATTGCCACTTTGGGGTCAGGAAGCAATTTTTCTCCAGGCCAGTTTGGACAGGGATCCTGGAAGTTTTTTGTCATCTTCTGCGCATGGAACAGGGCTCACTGGGGATGGGGAGGGAGGTATTTGTGAATTTCCTGCATTGTGCAGAGAGTTGGACTAGATGACCATGGAGGTCCCTTCCATCTCTATGAGTCTATGATTCTAAGAACCACAGCAAACACTGCAGCAACAACCCAGAGGTATACAGTCCTACCCTAACCACATTTACTCTGAAACCAACCCTATTAATATCAATGAGATTAATTTTATTAGATTTATAGCCCGCTCTCCCCTGCAAATGGGCTCAGAGAGGGTAACATCCTGATAAAACACAATATACAATCTAAAACATTCACAATTCAAATACAGTAAATTCAATAAAATGATAAAATACCATAAACAACACTACTAATACATGGGTGCAAATTTTCAGGGGAGTAAGTATCTAAAAACTGACTGATATGAAGGGAAAAGGGGGGAGGGGAAAGGGGAGAAGGAAAAGGGGGGAGGCCAATCAAGATGGAAATTTTTTTTTACTTCCGAGTCTATTTCTCTAGCATTACAGCTGGGTAGACTAATCCTATGAATGTTTAATCGGAATCAGGGGCCACCAAGTTCAAGAGTGCTTACTACCCAATAAGAATGCACAGCAGCCACATGGTATTGTCTTGTGGGAGGGGGCTGTGGCTCAGTGGTAAAGCATCTGCTTGGCATGCAGAAGGTCCAAGGTTCAATCCCCGACATCTCCAGGTGTTTTTTTTTAAAAAGGATTAGGTAGTAGGTGATGTGAAGGCCCATTGCCTGAGACTAGAGAGCTGCTGGAAGTCTGAGCAGACAGTACTGCCCTTGATAGACTGATGATCTGATCCAACATAAGGCAGTCCGTGTGCTCATGTGTCTGAGGTTTGGTGGATAAGGGGGGGATTTAATTACCGTTTTCAGGTCAGCCTTCAGTCTTGCTCTGGAACCCACTAACAGATTATTCTTGTGCAGGGTTGCCAGCAGGCCTTGGGGAAAAATGCCCTGTCCCTTTGACAGAGGCTTAATATATGTGGACATGGCTAGCTGAAGCTTTCCCTGTCATGAAACTAAACAACATAAGCTGGCAAATAACATTCTATCAAGCCTCCATTAAAAGGGCAATTTTCTCCAGGCCAGTTGGCAACTCCACGCACAGGTTAAGGCCAGCCAAGCATTTTAGTTTGAAATCTCACCAATCACAGTGACAACATTTTAGCCCCGGGCAAAATTACCTAATAAGAATGTAAGGAGAGCCCTGCTGGATCAAACCAAAGGGCCATCAAGTCCAGCCTTCTGTTCACACAGGAGACGACCAGCTGCGTCCAGGAAGCCCACGGACAGGAGAGACTGCAGCTGCAGCATCCAGCCACTGTGCTTCCCAGCCACTGATTCAAAGAGGCATACTGCCTCCAGTACTGGAGGAGGCAGATATCCATCCTGACTAGTAGCCATTGTGACTAGTAGCCGTTTACACCGCCATCCTCCATGCATAGTAATTGTCAGGGTCCCTGTGCATTTGCCTTTTACAGCTCGCCTGCCATTGAGAGAGGAGGTTCCTCTCTCTCTCTCTCTCTCTCTCTCTCTCTCTCTCTTTGATGTGGCCGGGGGTTGTCACCTTAGCGGTGCCAAATGTCCTGGCTTCTCGAATGTCTGTGATCCTGTTTTCCTTGCTATGTAGAGGCTACGTGCCTATGGGGGGGGGAAGCTGACTGTTAGTTCTGGTGGGCAAATACCCTGGGGTGATTGGGTCCTGAGCATTAGTGCCTTACTTGAATCCACAATACCTGCAACCTTCGCACGTTCAACTTCAGTCCTAACAAAAGATGTGTCCTGGATGGCAGCTATCAACTGTCTCAATAAAGTTAGCTTTCTTCAAACTGAATGGTGTTGAGAACTGATTTAACCAAGATCCTGACATTGACACGATGAAGAGACTTGATATATGCATCCTAGTGCACAAACCTCAGGGGGGGGAAGCGGACTGTTAGTTCTGGCAGGCAAATACCATGGGGTGATTGGGTCCTGAGCTTTACTGCCTTACTTGAATCCACTATACCTGCAACCTTCGAGTGTTCAACTTCAGTCCCCACAATAGATGGTAGGTATCTATCAACTGTCTCAATAAAGTTAGCTTTCTTCAAACTGACTGGCGTTGAGAACTGATTTAACCAAGATCCTGACAGTAATATGACCCCGTGATAATGAACTTGCCAGCTGCCAAGGCAGAAAACACACGTTGTGCTCATTACAGAAAACTGCAACCACCTTTGCAAAATATAACTGGGGGGAAATAACCCTGTTTCACTTGGTCACAAACTCACTCCTTTTTTTTTTAAAGCACACTTAAGAGGCGGCAGGCAAAGGGGCTCCGCGATGTTTGCAAACAGCGAGAATTTCCCCCCACAGCTTTCGACACACTACGAGGTTGAAGTGTGAGAACTGCGAAGCAGCATGGAAAAGCGTTCTCGCTGCCTGCAGTTTCCTGGAAAGGCACTAAATAAGCAATCCACTAGTAAAGTCATCCTGACAAGTCCCAGAGAAATGAATGGAAAATCTAGAACACAATTAACCGGAATCTTCTCCTTGAGAAAGCCTTTGAATGGGGCTTGCACAGAGATAATAGTTCTGGTTCCCTTCTTGGGAGCCAAGAAAGTGGAAGGCATTTCACATCTTCAGACTACCAGGGAAGCAACTGTGGGGAAACAGGCAACCAAACCAATACAGGTAAGAAGAATGTATCTGTATGTTTGGATATAGATGCCAGCCTCCAGGTGGGAGCTGGGGGTCCCCTGGAATTACAGCTCATCTCCAGACTGCAGAGATCAGTTCCCCTGGAGAAAATAGATGCTTTGGAGGGTGATCTCTATGGCACTGCACCCCACTGAGGTACCTGCCCTCCCCAGGCTCCATCCCCAAATCTCCAGGAGTCTCCCAACCTGGATCTGGCAACCCTACCCTCCCATCCCCCGCCAGCGGCCACGGGGGACCTGGCAACCCTAAGAGGACACGCACACAGAAAGAACTGCTGGTGTGTGTGTGTGTACAGGGAGAAGTCAGTGAATAGAGGAAAACGAAAGGGGGGCAGAAAAACAAGGGGGTGACCTTTACTCTGAAGGGTAAAGAAGATAAGAGAGTGGCCTACTCCAAAGATGGATCCAAAAGAGAAGAAGAGATCCATCAAGGTAAAAAGGACAATGTTACATCAAGAAGGGAAGGGATTCCAGAGTTTTATGGTGGGAAGGGGAGTAGTAGTATGGCGCTACTAGTGAGTCAATACAGCAGAATTAGAAGTGGGCCCCGCATCAAAAAAGATTGAGAGCCACTGATTTAGGAGAGACATCAATCTCTGCTGACATCTGAGCATTCCACACCTCGGGGGGTTTTATGCTGAGAGATGCTTACAGAGTTCGCCACATCTGTTTTTCTCCATAGGTTTGGGGGGGTCTCCTTTGCACATGGAGTTTCCTGGAGTTCAGTTTGCATCTTTTTTTCTCACAGCTAACAGATACTCAACAACACATACAAGCGTTCCATAAATAAGTACAAAGAGGAATCTTGATGGGTTCAGACAGTTGTATCAACATTCTTCTCTGGATTGTAATGTTATCAATGCACACGTCTGCAAACTAAAAACCACAGCACATTGTGTGTGTATGAAATCCAGAATTTGTTTTAGAAATTCAGCAAGTTAAACCAATTAGGCAGCTCAGAATGGAACACGGGGCACAGAAAACTCAAAGGACAATGGTGCAGTAGGACAGGGGAAAATCTGCTGAGCCCCTCCTTAGATTTTATTCCTAAAGCATACAGGAAAGAAACCCAATGAAGAAAAAGTTCATTAGACCTCTTCTGTATTTTTAATGCTTTAATATTTTGTTTTTATGTCCGCCACCTTGGGGACTCTGAACTGGGTGGAAAAGAGGCATAGAAGTATTTCAAATAAGTAAATGAGTCCACAAGGCAGGGAGCTGAAGGAGCAACCTCAAACAGATATACAGGTGCACCCTAGTTATACAACCCTACTTTGTAATACAGTATTCAAAAGCCAGTTTCAGAGGGACATCTATGTCAGTCTGCTGCAGCCAAACTAACCAGCAGTCTGAAGATGAGACAATTAATGTGTCCGGAATTTTCATCAGCCAAAACCATCTGTATCACATGCATGACAAAGGTGCCACATTACACTCTGCTATTTACCGGCAGTGGATTGCACCAAAGCAACTAAGAGAACAGTCCTAAACACAACTACTCAGAATGCTACTGGGGTCTATTCAATGGGGCTTACTCCCAGGAAAGTGTTCTTGGGATTGAACTATAAGAGACTCATCTAAGACTTTGTAGCCCTCAAACAAGAAAACAGTGTCCCCTTCTAAGCTCTGATCCAGCAGCTTTGGTACTCATGCTGAGGCTCCAAAGCCAAAGGAGGGGCTGGTGCATAGTGTGCAAAGTCATGGAAAGCACCACATGCACTGGAGAGAATGCTCAAGTCTCCACTGTCAACAACAAAGAGCGGAGATCTGTGCCTGTTCTTGAAACCCAAGCAGAGCTCTGCATTGTGGCCTCTAGGTACTAGCACACTCAATTATATCAACAGAAACAAATATGTTGGTATTCATCATCTGAAAGCACTGCACGCTGAATATCAAATGCAGTGGAATGACAAGAAGGGATGGCTGCTGTCTGCGCCCTGATTGTGAATTTTTGGGGAGCGTCTGGACCAGAATGCTGGACCAGATGGACTTGAGATGTTTTATCAAGCCATTCTATTTAGGGAACAACCTTGCGACTGTTGCATATCAATGGCAGAGATTTCAAACTAAGGTCTGCAGAATGGAGAGTTGTGGGTAAAGTACAATGGGCAGGAAACTCAAATGGCCCCTTCCCCATAATAAAATTAGCACAACTGCACACAGTACCGAGTATATTTGCTGTACACTGGAGAATTCCTGAGACATCTTCCGTTTCATCATTGCCAGAGTTGTCTGCATAGGAGCATCGGTTAGAAATATTGTGGAAGTTCTTTTCTGCATCCCTGTAACTAGAAAACAACAACAACAAAAATTGGTATCCCAGAGCAAAACAAACATCAGCTAAGATAATTAGAGTTATCAAACATACAGAAGAACAAGCCTTCCTAAAGAACAATCTGCAAAGGGAAGACTTGCCTCAAACATTTTTTGACAGTGTGATTTCTAAAAGACATTATATACTTATTCCAAAACTTTTACTAAAGTTCTTCACCAAAGGCTCCTGCATAAAAACGTAGCATCCACAAGGCAAGAGGGAAAGTCCTCTTATCCACAGAACACATGGAGACAGCAAACAAAGTGTTGTGGTCAGAATGCTAGACTAAGATGTGGGAGACCCAGGTTCAAATTCCCACTCTGTCATGGAAGCCTGCTGGGTGACCAGGGGCCAGTCATACACTGTTAGCCTACCCTATCTCGCAGGGTTGTTGTAAGAATAAAATGGAGGAAGGGAGAATGAGGCACACCATCCCTGAGCTCCTGGGGGGAAGGGCAAAATAAAAATGTATTAAATAAATACATGCCTTAAAAAACAGCAAGCAGGAAACAGAAATAAAAGAAAGTATTTAGTTATCCATAAAAAACAAGTTTCAGGTCTAGATAGAACCTTGGCCCGATCCAGCAGGCTTTTCGTTTGGAGTGAAAGAAAATGTTATCTATTGTACTGCAGCAGGTCATGTTGACTATAGTAAGGACACTGGGGACATTTTGGGGAAATGTCATTAAAAACTCCTGGTGTCAAGCCTAGAATGGATGCAGCTGTTTCTGAATGGGTGCTCCCCATAGACCGAAAGCTGATGCTCTTTTGAAGCACCTGCTGCTCCAATAAAGTGGAGGAAAGTCAGCCTCGGCTTTTTGCTTTGGGGAAGATGCTTCGTCAAAGAACCAAATGTGTGCCAGAAGGAAACAGATGGAGGGGGCACTTAGGCACCCACGGGCATCACATTGATTCAGAGACACCCCTTTTCAAAGGTAACATTTAGCTCTGTCCAGAGAAAAAGGCAGGTAAAAGTATCTTTGTCCCTCCAGTTTAGGAGGTGCATTTTAAATCCCAGAAAAGACACAGCAAGAAACAGTTTCCCTCTTATCCAGCAGCCTTCCCCCAGTCTTGCTAGCAGCTTCCTGGGACTACTTGCTGGCTTTGTACAAACCATGGAACCTCCAAATCTTTTGTGGTCACATCCAGTGTTCCCTCTAAGCTGAGTTAGTGTGAGCTAGCTCACAGTTTTTTAGCCTCCAGCTCACACATTGTTGTCTCTGCTCAAGAAGGATGGCTCCAGAGCAAACTAATTCATGCATGAGCCAAATCGCTCACTCACAACTTTAATGCTAGTAGCTCACCAAGTAGAATTTTTGCTCACAAGACTCCACAGCTTAAAGGGAACATTGGTCACATCCATTCTGACCCAGTGTGGGTTTGGGGGAGTGATTTGCCCGGATGCCTCAGTAGCAGCACTTTATCTTTTTTCTACCTAGGGCTTGCCCCGTGCATTACAGGAGGTACAGGAAGCTCGGAGGGATGAAGAGTGCATAGAAAGATTGTTTCAAGGCGGGAGAGCCATATAGGGAGAAAGAGTTAAATGCTCTCCCGTGTTCCACTTCTCTCTTGCAAATGGGGGGATGCCATCAATGGGGGGCAAAAAAAGGCAACCAGGCAATGAAATCCAGCTCAGCTGAGAATCCTTTCTCACGGGAACATCTGCATTTCATTTTCACTGTCCTTTGTATGAATCCTCAGTTCCTGTGAGCTGCTCTGGATGCCAATTTTGGCTGAAATGCAGGATACAAATATTAATTTATTGATAGACTGATTAATTAAATAGCCCCACCCCACCACTTTGCCGCACAAGAATGGCAGCTAGGGCTCCCCCGAGCCATGTCTCCCCCATAATGCATCTAAGGGCCCCTAGATAACTAGCCACTTTTCCCCTGATTATCACTGACTTTTTACAAGAGAAGAAGAGAAGAGATTGGATTTATACCCCGCCCTTCACTACCTGAAGGGGTCTCGTAGCCGCTTACAAACTCCTTTCCCTTCCCCTCCCTCACCCTGTGAGGTAGGTGGGGCTGAGAGAGCTCCTTCAAGAACTGCTCCTGAGAGAACAGCTCTGAGAGCACTTGTAACCAGTGTTCCCTCTAAGCTGAGTTAGTGTGAGCTAGCTCACAGTTTTTTAGCTTCTGGCTCACACATTTTTGTCTTAGCTCAGGAAGGATGGCTCCAGAGTAAACTAATCTGTGCAGTAGTCAAATCACTCGCTCACAAGTTCAATGCTAGTAGCTCACAAAGTAGAATTTTTGCTCACAAGACCCCACAGCTTAGAGGGAACATTGCTTGTAACTGACCCAAGGTCACACCAGCAGCTGCATGTGGAGGAGTGGGGAATCAAACCCGGTTTTCCCAGATTAGAATCAGCCCACTTAACCACTACACCAAACTCCTGCTGCCTGCTTCCAGGAACAGGGGAGCTTACCCCAGGCAAGAATTCCCTGCAGGAGATACACAAGGGGAAGCTGAACGGAGACAAAGGGAGGAAAGGACGTGATCCCATGGAGTTTTAAGAATGCAAGCTTTCAAGCAGAGGCGAATGACCGCTCTCTGCCAGAGAGTTTTTCCTCCCTGTCTCCCACCTCTGTTCCATATTCGGCATCAGCCTATGACTAAGGCGCTACCCGGGTGACTCCCCAAGCAACAGTTCACTCTGCCACTCTACCCCAAGGTGTTCTCCAGACGTGCCAGCATTATTAACACCAAGGAGAGGGCGAGAGCTCAGCTTGACGAAAAGGTTATGGAATACGCAAGGACAAATCTCTAAAGCGCAGAGGATTTCAGAAGCCTGGCCTGAATTTTAACACACACACTCTTCTGACCCAACTTGAGCAGCACACAGAAGATGCCGGTGCACCTGGGTAATTATAAAACAGTCAAAGGTGCCTATCTGACATAGGCCATTTGTCATCGCCGTTTCGCTGAGGCAGCTTTGTGCCTATTATACCCATAAGGGCAGCAAATAGTAAGAAGCAGAATGTGGGGCGGGAGAGGTATGAAAGCAGAAGGGATTCTTGAGGTGAATACTTCAGAACACCCCTTCTAAGAGGCACCGTTAGGGGAGGCCTTGGCCCAAGCCCTGTTTAATGGCCCTCTGGGGAAACGGGTTGGCCACTGTGTGAAGCAGGATGCTGGACTAGATGTACCACTGGTCTGACTCAGCAGGGCCTTTCTTATGTTCTGATGCTGACAAGTTAAATAGGACTGTTGCCCGTTGATAGCTACTAAAATATGACTAGCCCTCCATGCGTGGTGGCTTGGCTTACAAAGACTAGCACAACAACAATGAAAAAGAAGCATAAACAACCACCAAATAAAACTCCCACTACAGCAGTGACGTCAGAGATCACCTGCTATCAAACAACCTTTAAAAGGGGCCAGCATGGAAGCACTCATGACGTCTTCAGAAAGACATTCCAGGGGAGCTGAACCACGCCTGAGGAGGACTAAAGGCCAAACCAGACATGACAGTGTCCACAGGTCAGACCCATGGAGGCCACCACCATTTCACAGTGATTTTACCCAAATCTGACCAGGCTGAGACACCCTTATCCCACCTGCCATTGCACAATTTCTAGCTGCAGGCAGGAGGCAATGAAGACATTTGGACACTTGGAAAATGTGCCTCGAGGCATTTTTTAAATCACTTTAAAATGGTGGCAGCATCCACAGGTCCAACCCATGGATGCCATCACATCTAGTTTGGCCCTGAGTTTGGACTGGGGTTGCCAGCTCTGGGTTGAGAAATACCTTGAGGTTTGGGGGTTGTAGCTGGAGGAGGGGTTAGGAGGGAAGGGACTTCAGTGGGGTATAATGCCAGAGAGTCCACCTTCCAAAGCAGCCACTTTCCCCAGGCGAACCGATCTCTGTTGCCTGGAGATCAGTTGTAATCCCATGGGATCTCCAGCCACTACCTGGAGGTTGGCAACTCTAGTTTGGGCTGTGGCAGATATTATAGATCTGAGGGAGGGGGCAGTCAGAAGGAAACTCTGCGATGATTTTGCACCAGCTGTAGAGTCCAAATCTGCAATAAGGGCAGCCTCATGTAGACAGCATTACAGTAGTCCAGTCTCGAGGTGACCATAGCGTGGATCACTGAAGCCAGATCTTTGCGTTCAAGGAAGGGAACCAACTGCCTAATCAGCCAAAGATGATAAAAGGCCGAGTTGGCAGTGGCTGCTACCTGGGCCTCCATTGTCAGGGAGGCTGGATGCACTCCCAGACTCCTAACCTCCGGCACTGGCACCAACGGCACCCCATCAAAGGTCGGGGGTAGGATCCCTACCCCTGGTCCGCCCTGACTCAGGCACAGGACCTCCGTCTTCATCAGATTCAACTTCAGTTGGCTCAGCCTAAGCCAACCAGTCACATCTTGTAACACCTGGTCAAGATCTTCCGGTTTGGAATCGGACCGGCCACCCAACAACAGATAGAGCTGGGAGTCATCAGTGTACTGGTGACAGCCCAGCCCTGTCTCCATGCTATCTGGGCAAGGGGGCCCATGTAGATGTTAAATAACATTGGGGACAGCACCGCCCCCTGATTCCACAATCAAGCGGATACCTCCGGGAGAGCTGTTCACCCAGCGCCACCCTTTGTCCCCGGCCTTGGAGGAAGGAGACAAGCCATTGCAAGGCAAGCCGCTGAATTCCAACGTCGGCGAGGCTGTGGGCCAGTAGTTGATGGTTGACTGTGTCGAACACAGCTGACAGGTCCAACAGCAACAGCACTGCCGATCCGCCTCGATCCAGATGCTTCCGGAGATCCTCTGTGAGGGCGACCAGTGCCGTCTCCGTTCCGTGACCAGGGCGAAAGCCGGACTGGAAGGGATCTAAGATGGAAGCGTCATCCAAAAACCTCTGGAGCTGCATCGCCACCGCCCTCTCTCTATTAGCTTGCCCCAAATAGGGCAAGTTGGAAACCGGCCGGTAATTCGTCAATTCGGCCAAGTCCAAAGTTCATTTTTTAAGGAGAGGATGTACCACTGCTTCCTTGAGTGCTTCTGGGAACAGCCCCTCTGAGAGGGACTGGTTGACAATTTCCCTAAAGGAACTGTTAATGGAACTGTTACTTTTATCTAGGGTTGCCAACTCTAGGTTAGGAAATTCCTGGAGATTGGTGGGTTGAGCCTGGGAATTCCTGGAGATTGGTGGGTTGAGCCTGGGAATGCTCATGTCGTATCAGCATTCACCAGTGCAACAAACTCAGACTGCAAACTATTTTCAGTAGGAATTAGGTTATGGGCTTATATGTTTCACAGAACAGAAAGGCAGTCTCACGGAGGTCTGAAACCATTTCTGCAGGCAAAAATAGCTGACCCATTAACAAACAAGCCATTACACAATTCTCTAGAGGAAGGGCATGGGACTCTGGATATGCTTAATTCTGTCCCCAGAAATCAGTTATTACACATTAGGTAAATTCATTTCAGATTTATTTCTTATTATTGCCATTTTGTGCAGTTAAAGAAGGTATGCAAATCAATGTACAGGACTCCACACACAATTAAAACATTTATAACACTACACACCAAGAGAACTCAACAGGAGTGTGCATTCGGTTTATCCGAGCTGGAAGCACACACACACACACCCCGAAAAATACCTTACTGGTATTTTCAGGTATTTTTTCAGCAGGCTATCAGCTGGGTATTTATCCGGCTATTCGATACAGCAAGCCCAAAAAATCCCAAAAATATTTGGGATTTTTTGGGGGCCACTGGATAGCTGGTGTCAAAGGGTATTTAAAGGGATTGCAGTCTCTTTAAGCACCTTCTGGGTGAAGCCGCAGCTTGGAGAAAACATTTAAAGAGACTGTGTTCCCTTTAAATGCCTTTTCCCCCTCCTTTGGAAACAATGCAGGATGGGGGCACCTCCTTCTGGAGCCCATAGAATTGGACCCCCTGGTCCAATCTTTTTTAAACTGGGGGGGGAGGCTTGAGGAAAGGCACCAGCAGCTATGCTATAAATTTGGTGCCTCTACCTCAAAAAACAGCCCCCACAGAGCCTCAGATGCCCCTGGATCAATTCTCCATTATACCCTTACTACCCTTATTATCTACTTACCCAATTGCCTGATGACTATAATGGTCCCCATAGGGTCTAATGAAGGGAAAAAATTCAGCAATCCCAAATATTTACCAAATCTGAATACCATACTGATATTGGGATTCGGGAATATTGGGAAATGACGATAATTTTGGGGTTCAATATACCCAAACCCCAAAAATACTCTAACTTTGTTCTGTTTCAGAATATATGACAAGTGTCTGGTGAAATTACTGAAGCTGCGGGGGGAGCTGGGTGAGACCTCAGGAAGTGGGGCCAGTTTGGTGTAGTGGTTAAGTGTGTGGACTCTAATCTGGGAGAACCGGGTTTGATTCCCCACTCCTCCGCTTGCACCTGGCTGGATGACCTTGGACAAGCCATAGTTCTGTCAGAGGTGTCCTTGAAAAAGAGCAGTTTCTGTCAGCACTCTCTCAGCCCCACCTAACTCACAGGGTGTCTGTTGTGGGGAGGGGAAGGGAAAGGAGTTTGTAAGCCACTCTGAGACTCCCTTGGGTAGTGAAGGGCGGGGTATAAATCCAATCTCCTCCTCCTCCTCCTCCTCTTCACTGCAGTCCCAGCCCAAATTAGGATCTTGCACACTAGCTATTTTTTTAAAGGCACCTCAAAGCTCCATGTACAGAATTTTCAGTGGCTTGTCTAGCTACGCAGCTACTGACGAGGGAAGGCAGATTAGCATGTGTGAGAGCAGGAGGCGATATATGCATCAATCGCAGGGGGCAGATATGGCAGATTGGTGTAGCAGTCAGAGTGTCCAGCTAGGAAGCGGGAGACCCACAACTGGATCTCCACTCTGCTGCAGAAGCTCACTAGGTAACCTTGAGCTAGTCTCCTTCTCTCAGCTTAATTTACCTCACAGGAATGTTGTTGTGCCGGAGGGAGTAAGCAACTTTGTAAGCAACAGATCATACCTGTATATATACAGGGTGGCTTGTTAAATTAGCATGCAAAATAGTGAAGATAAAAGGAATGCATAAACACACAACACACACACACACACACCCTGTATATATACAAGCATGATCTGTAATTCCATCTCGTTGTCTGAAGAAGTGTGCTTTGCACACAAAAACTCACACCTTGAATAAAACTTTGTTGGTCTTAAAGGTGCCCCACTGGACTCCAACTTTGTTCTATTGCTTCAGACCAACATGGCTGCCCACCTTGATATATTCTGAAAGTTATCTTTCCAGCAGTAGTAGCATAAAGATAAAATTAAAATGTTGTCAGTGTGATGTCACTTCCGGGACAGCAACAGGTTTTTAATGGTCTTTAACAGTTCCTAGTGGTTTTAACATCTAGCCGGCTTTTAACTGCTTTTCACACCCTTTCCCCCATGCTAATGTAAATTGAGGGGTTAGGAATTTATATTACGGTGTCATGAAGATGTTCGGTTATATGGATTGGGATTTTAGATTGTGTATTATATTTATATGTACTCTTATGAATTCCGTTCTGCGATGCCCTGAGCCCGCTTGCCGGGAGGGCAGTATAGAAGCCTACCCTCTGATCTCCCGCTGGTTGCCTGGCAACTCTATTTAGTAGTTCAAATGCCTCACCTGATGGCCACAAGCCCCAAAGAACACATATAGGAGCTTCAGAAACAACAAATATAGAAACACAGAAAGCAAGACACACAAGCTCCAATTATTGGCTGAGTTCAGACTGGCAGTTTGCCCGGAAATAGGCACCACGTGCCAGAAACGTTTCACAAACAGATTAAAGGGCCGGTTCACACAGACACGTCTGTCAGGCGTTCACCAGCCGTACTCAGCCCGTCTTGTAGCGCTTGCCTCCCGAGTTTAAAAAGGACCTGGTGAAAGTGGTAGCAAACCCTGGAGAGCGCGGTCATCCCGTGTTCATCCCCCACCAACAAAGTGTGAACGCCGAAAGCCACAATTGCTTGTGCGCTTATGCGCATATGCGCATATCTCTGGATTACCAAAAAGAAAGCTGCGCCACCGCCAGGGGCAGGCCAACAGCGTGAACGCTCCCTTGCGCCTCTTCCCCAGTATGCTCCCGCATCAGTTGGAGCAGTGTGACAGGGAAGCCATGGGACAGTGTGACCGGGAAGCCATGACTCCCTTGCGCTTCAAACTGCCAGTCTGCCCTCGGCCATTAATTCTATAGCCAGTAGGACTACAAACTCTGGGAGGAAAACACGGCCACTTCTGCACTGTCACTTTTGCTTTGGGTTTCCCCCCACTTTTCCACATATGTTTTGCTCCCTCTGAGACTACTAGAGAAAGCAAAACACATTGGGGGGGAAACCCCTGAAGCAATAGGGACAAATGAGTGACAAAAAGTCTTCCTTCTTCAGAGACTATATTCAGCGCTATACATTTTCAAGCATTCCCAACAAATGTGGAGAAGGTCAAAATCATGGAAAAGAGAAAACAGACCAATTCAAAAAGGAAATGCTTGAAAGATTGGTAGAAAAGGAGGGGGAGGAGGAAAGGATGTGCAAAGAGACATGCATGGACCCCACTGGAATAAATGAGAATGATACAGATGTGCTCTTCTCATTCACTGCAATGGAGCTTGCGCAAGAGAATATCCTGGAAGCCCAGCTCCCACAACTCCACAAGGCACTAGCCTGGCAACTGCTGCTTAATTTTTCATTGCCACCCTCTCACCCCTCCCTTTCTCCCTCTCCCCTCCTTCCAAATTTGGAGGAATCGGCTCTACTTACCCAATCGCCTGATGCTCGTAATGCTGCAGCGTCCTCTGGAGAGTCTGCCTTATGGTCTGAGGCTGGAGAATAAACACAGAAATAATAATAAAAATGTTATCAGCGCATCGGCAGTCAGCCTCGCACTCGGCACGCTGTCTGAATGGAGGTGACTACTGGCTTTATCACTTAATCTAATGTATGTTTTTCCAATTACATTCTTTTTTTCCTCTCCTCGCACATCTGCTGTGCTTCCCCCAGAGTAACAGGAAGAAAAGAAGCCCAGAAGTAGCAAGCTGTTTTTGTACTGCAAACATCAATATTTCAAGGTTCCTCCTTCAAACTCCAGCCCCTTCACTGAAAATCAGCTGTGGGGTGTTGTTGTTGTTTTTTACAGCCAGGGCAACCGTCGCAAAAAAGCAGAAAGATAACAGAAGTACACAGAAGAAGAAAGCAGCCCCCTTAGGGGAAAAGTAACCATTACATCTCTTCACCTCCCTCCCACCACTGCCAACCCCATACAGTGTTCTTCTGTTCCTCATTGCAGCATTTTGAGGCTGCTTTTTGATGAAAGCAAAAAGGGACCAAAGGGGCCCAAAAATTTGCCTGTTTAATATGACCCCTTAGATCAAGGGTGTCAAACATGCGGCCCGTGGGCTGGATCTGGCTCCCACAGGGCTCCTATCCGGCCCCTGAGCAACTGGCTCTCTCCTGCTTCCTTCTCCAGTTTTGCTACTGCTGCATTGCAGCTTGTTTTGCCAGATTCTCTCAATCACACAGGAGAGACAGATAGGCAAGCCTCTGTTCTCTGCAGTGGTTGAGGCTCCTCCCCCTCCTCCTTCCAGGGGGAGGAAGGGAATGAGCCAGAGCTTGCAGTTACTTTTCTGGGAAGACTACAGTTCTGTAGACAAACACATAGCCATTACTTTGTGTCATAATGCCTTCAAATGTTCTTGACCAGCACACAAAACTATTGATGTATAAATGCTCACAATGCCCAGCCGGCAGCAGAGAAATGCCACCCAAAAACAGGGGTTTCCCTGTCCCTAGCAGGTTTCCCTGTCCCTAGCAGGTGTGTGGCAACCCTACATTATGCCCTGCCAAGTTCCCTCCCCTCTCCAAACCCTGTCCTCCCCAGGCTCCACCCCCAAAATCTCCCGGTATTTCTCAACCCAGAGCTGGCAACCCTAACTGAACTCCAGGCTAGAGAGTAGGGTTGCCAAGTCCTTTGAACTCACCGGCGGGGGACTGTCTCTCAGCTCCAGGAGTTGCTGTGGGACCCGCGCTGCCTGCACGTCACAGGAAGTGACATACGACGTAGAACACGTTGGGGGCGTGGCCCCAATCGGCAGAGGGAAAACCAAAGACCACGTCCCCAACATGCTCTACGTGGTTACGTCACCTCTGGTGACACAGCCACACTGCGCATCAGGGGGCGGGGTTCCCCCCGGGGCCCGATTCCGCGGCGGTGGAAATCGGGCCTCCAAAGCGGGGGTTTACCTGCCACCCGCCCCCACTTGGCAGCCCTACTAGAGAGATCAGTTCCCCTGGAGAAAATGGCTGCTTTGGAGAGTGGACTCCATGGCAATATACAGTGCTGAGGTTCCTCCCCTTCCCAAGCCTCACCCTCAAATCTCCAGGAATTTTCCAACTCAGAGTAAGCAATTCCACTTCCTGGACAGCCTCTATACTAGTTTTGCCAACCTCCATCTGGGGCCTGGAGATCTCCCAGAATTACAGACTATAGAGAAAACGGCTTCATTGGAGGGTAAACTCTACGACAGGTCCTTTGCCTCCCTAGGCTCCACCTCCAGCTCTGCCTGCTTCTAGCCCCTCTGTCTCAAGACCCTGGCCTACCAAGGTTAGATCCAGTCTCTGCTGGTCCTGACATTTCCCTTAAAGCCAACATTTCCAGACTGAGGCCTGCATCCTGGAGCTCTTACCTATCTACTACTTTAAACCACTGCTAGACACTGACCAGTCATTTCAAGTCATCAGCCTACCAAAAGAATGATCATCAGCCAGAAGGAGTTAAAAAAATTAAGCCTACTCAAAAGCAAAACACTGAACAATAGACATTGTTATTAACATCTATTTTTATATTCAAAGTTCATCTCTAATTGGGGCATTTTTGGCAGCAGTTTGGTTGCTCAGCTGAACAGAATCAGTTTGAACCATCCAAGCAGAACCAAATGTGAAAAAAGATCTTGTCCATCTCTAACACAGACGAAAAAAGTCAATTTTCTTGGCAGTGGCTGTGAATATTTATGCAACTGGCCAATCCGTTCTAACCGGAGTAATATTTGTTTTTAACCTCACAGGTTATTATTGAAATTTATTGAATTGAAATTATTGAAATTTGTATGGCATACTGAGTGACTATTTTTTTTTTGCATTCTTCTTCCTGCAAAAAATGTGGCCTATGAAGCTAGCACTTTTCTCTAAATATAGAATGCAAAAGATTACAAAGACATTCCTTCAATTCTGAGAAATGTGCCTTTAAAAAAATATTTCTTAAGTTAGTAGATCAAGTTGGCAACAGCAAACCCTCTGGGTAGTAGAGGCACCTATCAATTGACTCAAATAGACATACTTCAAATAGGCGACTTTAGACTTCGGCAATATTTTAGAAATCATTCCGTCATCTTTTTCCAGTGCTCCCAATAAAGATGGAAGGCCAGGCTGTGCCAAGGGAACAGAATTAAATAAAACAAAAGAACAGTAAACCACAACTTAATTATCCCCACCAGAACTAAAGCAAAACCATACGATCCATAAGGAGGAAGCAGAACGTTCAATTTGCCTTCTTCGGCTAGTTGACGCTAACAATTTCCTTTTCCATTTAGAGTGCAGCTCCGCACACACCGAAAAATCAAGAAGGGTTAAGGCTTTTATGGTGCCATCCGGAACAGAGTAACACCCTCCTGAGCTCATTGGCCTCTGTGGACTTCGAAGGGCATAATTCTGCTTAGGGGTGGCACTGTAAAAGGTTCTTTTGCGGAGGGGGGGGGAATCCACACCAGGCACTTTTGCTCTCAGCAGGAGTTAAATTTACTATCTCAGGAAAGCATTTAAAAAGAATCAACTGTGCACTTGCACACACCAAAAAAAAAAAAAAAACAGAAGATGCTCTATTTAAATGAGACCACACATAGGAAGCAGCTTCCTCCCATTTGGAGAAGCAGGTGTTTAAGTCCTAAAGGCCTGATGGAGCAGAAATTCTCTTCAGATGCTGCTCAAACACAGACAATTTAGTAGCTCTACAACTCTGATTCTTGCTGCGAGGGAAGGAATGGAAATTGTACCATCTCTTCCTGGCCTTTTTATGTTGAAACCCGGAGTCAGTTTAACCCATTACAAGATTTTTTTGGACAATTAAAATTAAGCAAACAAAATCAGGCAAGCCTACAAAGACAAGAATTAGCTCATCTATTTAATTGAGCTGCACAGATGACAACTCTTTGAACTTCTTTTATGCCATGACCCCTTCATCGATGTCAACTGTTATTCCAAAATTGATATGGCCCTTTACCTCATTATCAGTTTCCTGATTTAGAGACAGACGCCCAGTGGGATAAGTGTGTGCTTGTGGGCCAAAGCCCATTCTCAGTTTCATGCCCTATGCAGCCACCTTGTCTGAAGCTAACTGCAATGTCCTAACAGTTCTGCTCCTGTTTCTTTCCTTTCCCTTAGTAAAGCTAGTTTGGAAAGCCACTGCCAAGGAAGTGAGACGTGCCTACTAAAGAGCCCTTTTCAGTTGTTATGTTTCAACACCTGTATGGGTAGAAAAGAGCAAGAGTCCTGTAGCACCTTAAAGACTAACAAAATATGTGGCAGGATATAAGAACATAAGAACATAAGAGATGCCAATGTTGGATCAGGCCAAAGGCCCATCCAGTCCAACACTCTGTATCACACAGTGGCCAGAAATACCAGTGCCATCAAAAAGCCCACCAGTGGGGCCAGGACATTAGAAGCCCTCCCACTGTTGCCCCCCCCCCAAGCACCAAGAAGACAGAGCATCACTTGCCCCAGAGTCCCTATCTATACCTTGTGGCTAATAGCCACTGATGGACCTCTGCTCCATATGCTTATCTAATTCCCTTTTGAAGCCGTCCATGCTTGTAGCCGCCGCCACTTCCTGTGGCAGTGAATTCCAAGTGTTAATCACTCTTTGGGTGAAGAAGTACTTCCTCTTATCCGTTCTAACCCGACCGCTCTGCAATTTCATGGAGTGGCCACAAGTTTCTGTGAGCTTCTGTGAGTCACTGCTCACTTCTTCAGACAGCAGTGACTCAAGAAAGCTCATACCCTGCCATATATTTTTGTTAGTCTTTAAGGTGCTACTGGACTCTTGCTCTTGTCTACTGCTACAGACAGACTAAGACAGCTACCTATCTTGATCTATCACGTGTATGGGGAGACGATATTACACACAATCCTCCAACTCTGACAGCGTTTTTGTTTGTCTTTTGAAAGAGGCAATATGTATATTTCAGCCAAGGTACACACCAACCAGAAACCAAGGCTGAAAATAAAATTGTTGCTCCTTTCATACAAAATGGCCATTGTACATACACCCACCAACCTCCAGGTAGGGCCCGGAGTTCTCCTGGAATTATAATTTGCAGAGAATATATGGTTGCCAACCCGCAGGTGGTAGCTGGAGCTCTCCTGGGATTACAACTGATCTCCAGGCAACAGAGATCAGTTCACCTGGAGAAAATGGTCACTTGCTTTGGAAGGCGGATTCTATGGCATTATACCCCACTGAAGTCCCTCCCCTCTCCAAACCCTGCCCTCCTCAGGCTCCACCCCCAAGATCTCCAGGTATCTTCCAACCCAGAGCTGGCAACCCCATCAACAGTTTTAGAGGGTGAACTCCATAGCACCTCATCCATGTTCTCCCAAAACACATGGTGAAATGTAACAAATGAAAAGGGCTACGATCTACATAACACCTGGCTCACCCCCAGGCCTAGCACAGTCCACTAGTCCTGTGGAGAGACCCCTCTAGAGGCTTGATAAGCTCTCTGTTTTGTTTCCTGTCAGGTCCTGCACAAACAAGACAGTTGTCAAGCTA